TCATGTCTATCGGCTCGCTTTCGGGTTAAACTTTCCGCGACTGCGCAACTGGGTTATAGGTTGCCAGGTTGAGGTGACAAACGGGTTGAAATTGTAAATGGTCTGTGGATTGTGTGAATATAATGCATTTAATACAATCTGGCAACTGGTCAACATTAGACAAACATATTGGTCCGATAATTCATAAAGGAGTTTGGGCCATGCAAATTACGGGAGTTTCCCGGGAGAAATAACAAACCGGGAGGGGTCCAGGAGATAGGGCTAAAAAACGGGAGAAACCCGGGAAAAACGGGAGTGTTGACAGGTATGTGTGTTTCCACCGCAGGAACCAGTGTCTAAACGAAGTTCCAGGTAAAAATGTTCCCCTCAGAAAGTCCCCGTGGCGAGGCGGTACTTTATCAAAGACCAGGAACTGTCAGGGGTGGGACTTGGGCTCTGAACATGCTGATTGGTTGAGTTCACGCAGCATTTTGATTGGTTGACTCCACCACGCAGCATTTTATTTCAACCACCGTTTTTAAAAGTCTGTTGCGGTGCGTGTAGTAAGAGTTGTTTGCTATTCGAATCAAAAATGGAGATTAAAAAATACAACCGATGGACAGACAACGAGGTTCAGGCTCTATTACGCTTAAATTCAGAGGATGAAATCCAGCGGGAACTGGAGAGAAACAGCCTTCGTCGCGCTGCAGTGACACAATCGGCCTTCGAATGCGGCCTTTAAAGGATGCAGCCTCAATATCATACATTTAAATGCGTTTACAAGGCAGGGATAGTGAACGCTTGAGAAGATCAGACTATATCAGTGCAAGTGAATCAATTGAAATAATTTATCTAGGTTCACAGAGAGCTCAAAAGAAAACACATAAGCTTAAAGCTTGTATTTATTGAATATATTTATATTAATTTAAATGCAATGATTAATATAAACTGTTAATTCATATAATAACTATATGAATTGCAGGAGTGATGTATTTATTGCATCAGATATCATACATGTCACTTTACTCACAGCTGACTGGTCCAGTTTTCCCTGGGTCGCAACTGGTCGGGTTTACCTCTCCCATCAACAGTTAGTGCAGCTACTCCATTGTCTCTCGAGGCAAGAAAATAACACATGTATTTAGTCATATCATGAAAAAGAAATGCTGTAAATTATTAATACTCACTCACTGCTATGTTTTTCCATACTATGGAAATCAATGCAACTGCAAGTCCCCCTGTAGTCAATAATTGTATCCTTTAAAACTCATCTTTGATCACCAAAATTACATATTTAAAAGTGTTTTTTCCTTTGAAAAAAATCCTTCATGTCATGAAATAGCTTGGATGTAACTCTACACCCTTGCTTCATTTAATATACACGTCGTAATCATGAATAATTATGTTAATTAGCCCCGCCTCCACTCATATCCACTCGGCCAACTTCCTGAGGTAAACACCGCACAATGGTATCGATCTTTACAACACCGGACACATAACGGTAATTCATGTGATTAGCCTTTAGCTTGACTATGTTATCAAAAAGTAATGTGTTACTAATGTTACACAAACCATGTTCCTGTTCGCCATCTCAGAGTCGGACAGCTGCCGTATAACAATCATCAGAAACGCTTTGAACAACCCAGAACATCAGTGGAGAAAGTCCATAATATACATCATACCCCCGCTATATTGCTAAATCTACCCAATTTTTCATATAAACAGAAAAATATACCTGGATAACCTGGCATCTCTCGAGACGCTTTGCAGTTAATGATATGCTGAAGGCCGCCGGTACGTTGACCTGATTGGTTACAAGGTTGTTTGTGATGTCAGAAACACCAGCGTTTTTAAACTGCGTTTTTGGACCGTCCCCCATGTGCGCTTCAGCACTAGAGCCTTTTCCCTAAAAGGAGCAAGCGGACGGTGATGCTTCTTTTTAAAGAATGTGGGGTCAACATTTCGGTATCATGAGGAAAACAATTTAGGTATAAATCATTCTAAATAAAATCATACATGTTTTTTTCTGTAAAGGTAATGTTTAGGGGTAGAGTTAGAGTTAGGGGATTATTATGTCTATGGAGTCCTCATAAAACACACACAAAACGTGTGTGTGTGTGTGTGTGTGTGTGTGTGTGTGTGTGTGTGTGTGTGTGTGTGAAAGAAGATGAAACTGTGCAGATGAATCCACTAGAGGGCGCAATTGACCGTGAAATCACCGGTCAGATCTTCTGTTCACTGTCCCAAACTCTTTCAAGCCCAGTAATCTAGAAGATCATTTCGCCATTATTGATGGAGCTTCCAGATTTAAAACCATATTCTCAGATGTTTCTTTTAAGCTAAGCAGAGTTTACAATAAGGCATATAACTGAAACAAATCAATTATTCGATACCATTTTAATTAAATGTGTCTTTTGTTTAATATTTTGCCTATATATCTCCATATAATCAACACATTCATTTAAATATAATTAGAGTCTACTTGATAAACGACACTCTGGTTCAGTCTCAGGGATTTCTGCAAAAAGGGTTTCTTTAGTCATAATATTTGATACATTTCACTCATTTTAATGTGGAAAACTAAATAATTTAATATATATATTATATAAATATGATATAAATATTATATATATATACATATATATATAGCCACCCATCTATTTCAAGTGTGTTATGGGTTTGTCATAATTTGGTCAACTCAAGATTTTTTACTGAATATCTATAATATCGATCAGCAATAAAGTAGGCCCTATAATAAAGTAATTAAGTGTCAACTTAGGCAGGCCAACGACGAGGCTAAAATAACAGCATAAATGGGGTTTTTTTTATCCTCCAGTGTGTTGCGTATCGGCGTCGTACAATAGTGTTCCTCTCCCAGAGGCAAAAACGGTAACCCTTAATGGAAAACATCATGTTTTATTGATGAATCAGACTTTGCTCTGGGCTCACATTGTATGAGTTATTGCTTCAGTGTGAAGCGATATGCCATTTATCATTGTTCATCTGCTTTAAGTGATGGAAAGAAGATGCCTGTTAATTGTGCTTAACATCTATTTTTAAGATAGTTTTAAGGTTTTAAGTGTATAGGCTCATCCCTAAAATTGTCGTTATAATTCACAATGTCTTAAGTCTAAGATTCCCTACATGTTTGAGACTAACACATTTATGTGATTAGACTTTTAATTCAAAAAAATTATAGTAAATGAGATAAACTAATATATAGCCCATGTGACAACTAGCCCCTGTATTGTTTTAAGCCGTATTTTCCCCCGTATATGTGCAGATCTGGAGCACCTGTCCTAACCGCTGTCTCAATGTGGATTCTTCAGGTCTACTGTAGACCATTAGGTGGCGCTATTGGCTTAACTGGAACAGGACAAACACGTGCTGGAGGCCTATAGCACCCGAGATTATCTTCCATAAATCTGAGCATATGGGATCTGCAATATATAGGCTACAGATAGGTGTATAAATTGTTATTATGTAAATTAACAAATGCAAAACACAGCAATTATGTAAGGAAAAAAAACCGTTTATTTTCTTATAGTTCTGTAGTCAAATACAGAACCAGTTTCTATTGTTTCGCCACAGAAAAAGCTTTCAAACTTCTGTTAATTTGTTTTTACACTAACAGAGATGGCTGATACCAAGTTACAGAAATGTAAACATTTTATTCACTGTAAAAATAAGTCACGACAACATATGTTTTTACATTACATGAACTCATCAAAATAAGTTAAGCAATTTTCAACTTTTTTTTAATAAGTTATACAAGATTAAACTATTTTTTAAGTCAGTTTAATGTAATTTAAGTTTAAATTGCTTACAGCCAAGTTGAGTGTTATTAAAAATGTACTGCTATTCGTTTTTACAGTGTTATAACGAGTAAAAAATGGAAAACGCTACAGTAAAAATATGTTACCACTACATCTAAAAAGTTTTAGCTATGAATTTCCATAAATATTTACAGCACAAATCTTGTTTTTTAGATGACGAAACAATGCCTGTTCTAAAATTAAAACATTTATTTACATTTATTTCACCTTTTATTTCACCTCATAATTTACTGTATTAATCTGTAAAAATGACGTGCAGGAGTCTCTGCGTGACGCATCACTTTTATGCTATTATATTCATCATCAGTTACATAGGCTACATTGGAGTGTTTTATGTAGTACATTGGCGTTTATTGCATTATTTTACATTAAAAAATAATATGATCAAAAAGTTATGACAACTAGTTCTTACATTGCTTGAATTCATCAAAATAATTTAAGCAATTTTCAACTTTTTTTATAGGTTGTTTTTTTAATATTCAACTCATTTTTAAGTCAGTTTAATGTAATTTAAGTTGAAATGACCTAAACATCCAAGTTGATTGTACTTTTTCTTTTCTTTTTTTTACAGTGCCCTGGTGTTTAGTGTTTAGCTCTTTGAACCTTTAATTCAGCATGTGCTCTTGTGTTTATGGTGGTTACATCAGTCATCTATATTTTATGCTACAAATCAGATTTTAGTTGAATAAGCAAGGCTATGCTGGAATATTATTTTAGGTTACACTTTATTTTAAGGTGTCATTGTTACAGTGTAATTATATATTTAAGTACTGAGTAATATTAAGCAACTGTGCACTTACTATAGGGTAAGGATTTGGTTTAGGTTTACAGTAGTTGCATGTAATTATGCATAATTTACTGTAATTACTATGGCAAGTACATGAAACATGTAACAAGGACACTGTAAAATAAAGTGTTACCTTATTGTATTTAATGAAACATTGGCATACGGTTTTGAATTGAAACAAACGAGCACCAACATGTCATCCCATAGTGATCTAGCAGCCAAAGTTGCCTTTCTTCCTGTAAGTTTTGTAGTTTTTTTTTTTTTTTTTTTTTTTGTTACTGGTGGGCATGAAGACCCCTCTGTGCCCAGACGGCCGCCACTAGTCGCCCCCAGCGCCACGCGTCACATCACGCCCGTACTTGAACTTGAATCCCATTCCATTCTTCAGAGGCAACCCCTGCCACACACACACACACACACACACGCGGGCTGGGTCCTCCCTGAGACGTGATTGCTCGCGTCCTGATTGATCTGGAGAGGAGGTGTTGTCTTCAGAGGTTGAGCCATTCTCCGCTCTGATGCCAAGCGCACATGGAGGACTGTGCCAAAGACTGCGCTCACCTGGCGAGCCCGCCGTCCACGGATCTTGGATTTCCATTATAACCGGACAACAACTGTTTTTACGACTTTTTAAAAGAAAGAATACGCGCATTTAAAGACTCGGAATCGATGTCGTCAGAGGTTGTCGTCGGAGTGATCTCCTCACATCGCTGTCTCAGGTTAAGTGGCACTTAGTTACCGCTTCACAACAGCCGAGACCAATTTAGTCTGTTCTGAGAGGACAAGTGTTAGTTTGAGCCGTTGATAACGACCCGCGAACGCAGTGGGAACAATACCTGGACTGTGGAGGAAAGTTTGGAGAGCTTCGGGAGCATTAGTCCGAGTGTCCGTGAGATGCTGCTGTGAATGCGGGGCGATGTCCCGACGGAAGCAAGGAAACCCACAGCATCTGTCCCTCACACAGAGGGAGAACCGACCGAGTGAGTAGGCTACACACACTGTCACACACACTGTTTCCTACATACTTCATCAAAACTTTCTTTCTTTCTTTCTTTCTTTCTTTCTTTCTTTCTTTCTTTCTTTCTTTCTTTCTTTCTTTCTTTCTTTCTTTCTTTCTTTCTTTCTTTCTTTCTTTCTTTCTTTCGCAAGCGCAGAAGGTGTATCTAACAAAAACAACATTATCTGTTAGTCAGACTGCTGTTAGTAAACATGATTAGCTTTTTTTTTTTAAATGTAGCACTGCTAGTGTTACACGTTTATGATTATCAGCTTATAAACCATAGCCTATATAAGTTCTATTTTTGCCAAATATAATTATTTATGTGTGCACTATATCCTATTATTATTTTCATTTATCGATAATCTATAACCGTTTGGGCCTGTTAGTTTTTATTGTTTTGCAATCAATCACTATGATACTGTGAATGATTCACATTTACTGTGAATACATTATTTGATCAATTTACAAGTGCTAAATGCGATTCATAGCTTACAGTTTTCAGCCAAAATACTGAGACCCCTACGCTCATCTGCTCTGTCCCCCTCAGAGCACACACAAACACACACACACACACACACACACTGCTTATCAAGTTTACTTTATGTAGTTTATTTAAAAGGCCCAAACTTTGCTAAATAGCCTGCCGTTCATTTACATCTAAAAACAAAGTGCTTATACGTTTATAATTTGTTGAGTATTTTTATTATAATCTCTGTTTTACAGTATCAGGGATCAGATGCATGGATGTTGATCATTCTTCGTTCATCCTTAATTTAGCCTTTTATCTAAGGTGCTTTACACACTATTTCTTGTAAAACTTTATGTAAAAGCTTCAAGTGCTCTAAACCCTTATTTAAGTTTTCCTTTGCTCTGGGTTTTTTTATTTATTATTCACCTAAAAGCTTTTTTATTTTGCACAATAAAAAAAGAATAAATTAGCTGAAGTGTAAACTATTCAGAATTACACAATGCAACCTAATCCATCTACTTTATAACAGCTCAATGATATAATCTCCACGAAATGTTTCCAACACTGATTATATCCACAAACAATAAAAGACCAGGAAGTTTCCCCCCCCCCCCATTCATAATACTTTGCATATCATCGATATTAATTATCCTGTACTCCAGGTTTTGTTTTTTTACTTTAACACATTTTATTGACTTAAGTGTGACTTTACTGACTTGAGTGTTAAGATTTTAAAAATACAATAATTTGTAATATGAATTATTTGTTAAATACATCTTGAGGTCTCATCTATTGACATTTTTATGCTCGGTGCTTTTTGCCTTGTTATTTATTAAGTAATTTCTGGTTTCGCTGAGAATGTGTGTACATTGCGAGGGCGTGCCTTCCTGAAAATAGTAGAGTATGAGTGTAGATGGTCTTTACACGTCAAATTTGACACTGTTTATGATGTTGGCGTTTTCAGAAAACGAGAAGACAGGAGATGAGAAAAAACTGTGTTAAAGGAGTGGGTGGGCTTATAGAGAGCCGGTGGCCTTTAAATTCAAAACCACTGCTAGTCAGCCAGTTCATTTCACCTGATGCGGTTTATTTAGCAGATAGTTCCCCCCCCACTCATAGTTATTGTTTCTGGTTTCTTTCCACTTGTAGTGATTAACAACAAACACAAAAACGTCGTGTACATTAGTGCTTACTTAAATATGTGTGTTTGTACAGCGAAAACCTGTCCAGTGTATGTTTCAGTGTGCAAATGTGTTGAGCAGAATAATTATACTGTGTCTCAAATACAAACATAATTAGTCTGGCAGTAGTGTGTGTCGCTTGGCAAATGCGCAGTTTACATTGTGCGCTCTATACACTCCATCGCATGTGTGCAGAGCGTAAACCGACACTTTTTAAAGTGGACTCGGCTCAGGTTTGCACGCCACCCTCCACCCTCAGCCTTCACGGGGCAAGATCCTTGCGCTCTTTCATGGGTGTCTGTCCGCAGGGGGAAAACCCAAAAGTGCCCTCATTTGGCTATGTCAATGCTCTTGGCACAAAAACATGTCAGTTAGCTGGAGGTTGCACAATAGAGAGAGTGACAGGACCTATAGATCACACTCAAGGAAACAGGAATATCCACATACTTCCCGTCTTGAAATAAACGCGGGGTGCACTCTCCGCCCGCAGGTGTGCGCGTTATAAAAGACGTCTCGAGCCGCGACCTAAAATGGCAGGGCTCTCGTACATGCAAAATACGGGCTCTTGAGGAAGTCGTCAAGACGAAAGCGCTCGTATTTTAGATTTCCGCAACGGCGCCCTCAGTTGTACCTCATTAGTGTTTCTTCATAAGAAGCATGTGAATTGTGTGAACATGTATGATTCATTACATCTCTGCTTTTTTTTGTTGTTGTTGTTGAATGGGTCGGTTGTGGGTGGGGGCCGTCCATTAGGGCCCTCACTGGCTCTTAAAATGCTAAAACGACTCTTGCTTTGAATGTTCACATGACGTTTCCCGTGATCTTTCAGTGGCCGCTGGTCACCGTGAACCACTGGACTTTTGTGCCTTTGATTTCTGAGAGTGGAAAGTGTCACATTTTTTTTACAGCTGGCTGACTTTTTTTTTTTTTTTTTTTTTTTTTAGGAGTGATTTTATAGCAATCTCCAGCCTCTTCGTGTGTGTGTGTGTGTGTGTTAGCACAGCCTCGGAGAGAACTTCTTTCACAGACCGTGTGAGCCGAGAGCTGTTTGATGGACGTGCGGTTACCCGCTGATCGGACTCGTCTGACCTGACTTGGCAAATATTATAGGCGAGTCTCTGTTCGGTTTATTTCACGAGTGTCGTATTTGCTGTTTTGCACAGCTTCGGTGGAGTGTAAGTGTGCACGGTTGAAGCTGATAGGGGGTGCTGTAAGTCCTTACGAGAGGGAAAGTGATCATGTGTGTGTGTGTTTTCCTTGAGAATCTGATTACTGCCTTCAGGAACCATGATAACTGTATTTATAATGGTTAATACCCTAAATTGCTATCTCTTCTCCCAAGTGTATCATTCCCACAACAGGCTCAGTATAAATCTCTTATCTTACGTTAAAGGTAATTAATTCAGTTTATTGCTGTATAGACTTCACCCTGGGGAGCAGTAAATTTAGACGCCGCGCTCCTAAACATTTCACGTCCTCGCCTACACTAACTTTTTAAAACAATGTTTGTGGTTCCGCTTTCAAATATAGGGCTTTATGGGAGACTTCAGTCGCTGGCGCACACGTGCATTTCAGAATTGTGCGCATTTGTTTGGCACACGTCCAGAAGCAGTTGAGAGTGTATAGGCCTTAAATGAAGATAAGCACGTCTGCATATGGATTATTATATTTTTTTTTTGTACTTGCACCTGTGAGCTCAGAAATCACAATTAGGCAAAGTCTTTTCACACATGCTGAAGACGTTAACAGATCCTCAAATATATAGCACTCACAATCTGTGGATTGTGCTGAATGCGCTCTGTGCTCTCTACATGTGTGTTTCTTTTGAGTTATTATTACTTTAATCCAGGGCCATAACCATCATCATAGATTTGACCTCAAATCATTCATTATATAGAATTATTCATAATTAGGCAAATTGTTGATGAGTATGGATTTATTTTTTTAGTGAGTAGTTAATAAACGCTTATCTTTGCTTCCATCACAAATTACTCTAATTACTACAGTGTTATGAAAATGCTTTTTAATAGGATAACTAGACTTTTTTTTCACTTTTTTTATATATAGATTGTTTCATTACACACTTAGTATTCTTAGTGTTATACGTGCGTACTGGTTTCCTCTTCGTGAACATATTTGAAGTGGGGTTCAAAAGTCTTAGACCATTTCATTTTTTCATTATTATTGTTATATTATCGTATACCAGTTTGAGTGAAATGTTGATCAAAACAACAGATGAATTTCTGAACATCTATTTTGCATGCCCCACCTTGGCTTTAATAACAGAAGCACTTTAGCTGCATTTGTGCAAAACCTGATTTTTTTTTCCGAGAATGTTTCAATGATCGTCTGACACTTCAGTGCAAATCAAATCTGACTATTTGTTCAAAAGAGTTTGCATGGTCAGTGTCACAAATGAGCTTTTTTGATCATTGCCTTAGTGAAGAATCTTAAATCAATCTCAATCATACTGTTTGTAAACTGTTTATTTCCTAATTTTGAGTTAGATTGCATATCTATGGACCTTTTCATTCCCCTGAATAGTAAGCAAATATCTGTCAATTCACAGTATTATTATTATTAATAGAAACCCTAAGCTGATTGATAATATATCAGCCTGTAAAGGTGTATGTTTCAGCGTCTGATTGAAATATCACACCGCACACATCATCTGCTGTGCACCTGTGGCTCCCACAACCCCCTTCTCCTGTCGAGTCCGCTGCTTTCGTCTGGCCTGTTCGGGACGGCTCCCTCCCAGCGCTCAGTTTCCGTGGCATTGGACTCATTCCAAGTCCACGATGTTTGTGTTCTCCTCCTTTGGCGTTACTCCACTGCTCCGCTCTCGAGAGCCGAGTGTGTGGCAGCGGCCCGGTGTGTGTGATGTCTGTTTATATCTGTTTAGATATCACATGCTGTCAACTATATCAGGGGTTCCTAAAGCTTCCTCTCAGCTGAACCCCTTAGATGTCAAATATGGTCAATCATTTAACGACACAATCACATGTTCACGGTTCTCTGATGTTGATTTGTTATCACAAATTGTTCTTTTGTCAAATTAACTTACATAAGTAATGTGGATCAGATAACATCATATTTTGAGTTACTATTCATTAAACCAATCTCCTTTGTGGTTTTAACTCAAATGTTTTTAATTTCAATCAACTCAAAATTTTAAGGCAACTTACTTTTTTAAGTTAAACCAACAATGATTTTTTTTAACTGTGAAGCATGCAAATAAACAGATCAAATATTTAATCTTTTTTTAGTTGTAGGTGTTTAATTTGGTTTGTTTTCATTTCTAAATTCTTTATATAATTTCTTTGGCTGCACGCCAAAAATCACAGTGCAATTATTTTGCCGTGAGTTTGAAAGACATTTCATCTCGTATGAAAAACTATAACTAAAAGTATATTTCAAGTCAAATCAAGTCTCCTTTATTTATATAGCGCTTTATACAATATGATTGTTTCAAAGCAATGTAACACTTTATTTTACAGTGTCATTGTTACATGTTACATGTGGTTAATAATGTATTAAATATGCATAATTACACGCAACCAAACCAAACCAAACCCTAACCATACAGTAAGTACATGTAGTTAATTAATATTACTTAGTACTTAAATGTATAATTACAGTGTAACAAGGACAGCTTAAAATAAAATGTAACCCTATAATGTTAGGAATAGGTTTAGTTTAAGGTTAGTTGCATGTAGTTCTGCATAATTTATAGTTGTAACGTGTAACAAACAAGGACGCTTTAAAATAAAGTGTTACTGTTTTATTTAAATGATTTTTTTTTTTTTTACATTAAATTTAATTATTAGTTTTTCATCAACTCACAAACCCCATGGGAAACCCTGAACTATGATGTCAGAGGTTCTAAATGTAATGCAGATCAAGATATACTGTTTTAAAAGAACTCTAAATATCAATTTGTCACTAAATGCCCCAAGGGATTGTGGGTCAATGTGCTGAGTCAAAAAAAAAAAAAAATGCTACAGGAGTCAAGTTACTGTCGCTCTTCCCAGGACTCTTGCAGCCAACCAGTGTGTGTTGAAGAGTGTGTTTGTCCCTCAGGCAGAGACTGGAGTTGATTTGCTATTGGATCTCATACTGCTGCTGTTTTTTTTTCTCTTTCTGTGAATCTGTTTTGTATCTCATTGTGGTTTTGTGTGTTGAGTCAGATCCATTTCGCAGCAAATAGTTGACTGTTTTGTCATCGATAATAATTTGGGCGTCGAGATGGCAAACAGGGAATTTCGAGAGGGTGCGAAATGACACAGATGAGGCTGGTTTTCACACACTGAAACGGCTGTTTGTGAGGCTCCTTAACCACTGTTCCCGAGGTGCACCTGCGATGCGAGGCGACCCGTGCCTGAGAGCGTATATTGAGGCTGTTTTGCGGCTTTTGCGAGTGCTAGTTTGTCTGCTGCGATATACCTGTACGGTGCATGTGCACCTCTCCAACATCCGTCCAGCGTGCAGAAAAGTAGACCGGAAACACAGATACCACTGCAAGACTGCGACTGTACTACCTGCCACACACACACACACACACACCCTCCACTCATCTTACTGTGCAACTCACAGGTGTTCGTCTATGCTGTGTGAGCTGTGAATTTCGCTTTTTTGAGGACAGTATCAGACACAGAGGACCATATCGACATATCAGTTCCACAAAGAAAAGCTTGAGACAGTTTTGATACTAGTGCTACTGTAAAAAAAAAAAAAAAGTTGCTGCCTTAAATTTTTAAGTACAAGCAACTTGAATGTTTAAGTTTTGTCAACTTAAATTACATTAAACTGACTTAAACATGATTTGAATCTTGTATAACGTTGAAAATTGGTTATCTTATTTTGATGAGTTCAAGCTATGTAAAAAAAAAAAAAAAAACATGTCATAACTTATTGATCATGTCATTTTTTTTAGTAACAAATTCTGTCCTTTGCTCTTTTTAGACACTCGCAGTGATTTGTGAAGATAGCTTGCAAATGTGTGTGGAACATTTTGGTCCATGAGGTCGTTTAAAAGAACTCATTTGTCGTCAACTGTGTGTAGAGTCTACGGTACATGCAATTCCCCAACAGGCAAGTTAATCATGTCTGGACCAGTTTGATAGCCAGACAAAAAAAAAACAAAAAAACAAAGCAACAGATTTGCAACTCACAATAACGGAAGAGCAAAAATCACAGACACACCAATAGCAATTTGTCATTTAGAAACCCGACAGGTACTTTAATTAGTTAAACCAACTATCTTAAAGTCAGACTAGTGAAGGCAAGGCAATTATTTATAATATTCTACTTTTTTTTACAACACAATGTTAATTCAAAATGCTTCACACAGTCGTAATAAAGAAAAATAAGCTATAAAGAGAGATATAAAACACATGTTAAAGTTTATGCAAATTTGTTTAAAAAAAAATTGTCATTACTTTTTCACTCTCATGTCCTTGCAAATGGATGCGGGTTTTTTTTCTCCATAGAAATCAAAAGGAGTATTTTTGAAGAATCTTCAAGAAGCTCTTTTCCATAAGATGACAATTCACTGACAAGCCTCATAAATGATGAAAAAAGTGGCATAAAAGTAGTCAATTCGGTCTTCTGAATTCATATGATAGCTTTTTGTGACAAACAAGACTGCAATTTAAGTTGCAATTCACTGACAGTTTTTTCTTCTATCAAATATGGTTTACACACAGCTGAAGTAGAGAACATGTATTTCAGTGAACATCCTAAATAACTGTTATAAGTTCCTCAAAAGCTATGAAATGATTTCTGAAGACCTACTGTTTTTTTTTTGGTTTGTTTTTTGGAGCTTGACAGCCAAAATAGCTGTTTGAAGATTCAACTCAGGATCAGTAAAAAATTCAGCACAGTGGTTAATTTGAGAATGCAAACAGATGTTGTCAGTCCGGACTTGAATGTGGTTACCGTCCGGGAACTTCTGACATCTTTTGGAAATCAAATAATGTTCACCTGCACTTGCCAAACATGGAATGCTGTTCACACTGCTGTAGTTAGTCACACTTGTCGCTAGCAGCAAATCTTGCAAATCCCAAATGACAGCGGCCTTTGGTGAATCGTCATATATATATATATATATATATATACAGAAGTCAACATTTGAAGTGGATCAAAAAAGTTCATCAAAGTTGTCCTAAGATGAGAACGGGTATTGTTCAAAATTCATGGATAACTTTGATGAAAGGTTTTGATCCACTTCAAATATTGACTACTGTATGTATAATATATATATATATATAACAAATATATAGCTTCAGTGGTGCATTTTGTGACGTTGATAGTTACAGAAACCGCTTTGATGATTTCCTTTATTTATCATTTGGTATTGACTTAAAGTTGAAACTTAATTTAAATCCTATAAGTTTCAGATGACCAAAACATTAACTTAGACCCTTATTTATCAATGTTAAATTAAATGGATTGGAAAATATATAAAAAGAGAGAAATTTAAAATGATTCAAACAGACAGAAACACATTGAAAGACTTCTATCTCTACAGTTACAGTATTTGCAACTACCAGATTGATCTGTCACATCTCAAAACTGATTATTAGACACCATTCATTATTATTATGCACTGTGCACTGATTGATATTTTTTCCCCCGTGTTTCACGCCTCAGCTGGGCCAGATCATGACGCAGGGGTGGACCAGTGCCCATCGGACGGCTCTGTGGGCGGAGCCGGAGAGAGTGACCTGCTGACCTGCGGTCAATGTCAAACCAACTTCCCCCTGGGAGATATTCTGGTGTTTATCGAGCACAAGAGGAGACTGTGTCCCGGACCCAGCGTCTGTTTCGACAAGCCGACCGACTCCGGCGGCTCCCCGTCCCCCAGACCCCCGCGGGTGGAAGTGTGCCGGAGGTCTGGGCCCGTGGAGGTTGGGATCCAGGTCACGCCAGCAGAGGAGGAGGAGGTGAAACGACTGACGCCCGCCAGAGGAATCTGCCCCAAGCAGGAGGGCGTCCCAACAGGTAGGTGTTTTAACACTGAGAGCTGGAGGAGGGGGAGGTTTAATAGTCTTGAAGCTTGGCAGGAGAGAGAAGTCTGTGAAGTTACAAACACACAAAGCCTCTTAGTTATATTCTTGAAACGGGTAACACTCTTAAAGAACTGGTCAAGAACCTTTTCGCTGTTAAGGGTTCTTCCGATTTTACTGTACATAGTAACTAAAAACGTATTTTTGATACGCTTTAAAAAGTGGTAACCTGCCATTGTTAAAGGGATACTCCACTTTTTTTGGAAATAGGCTCATTTTACAACTCCCCCAGAGTTAAACTGTTGAGTTTTACCGTTTTTGAATCCATTCAGCCGATCTCCGGTTCTGGCGGTACCACTTTTAGCATAGCTTAGCATACATCATTGAAGTGGACAAGACCATTAGCATTTCTCAACAAAAAAAAGACCAAAGAGTTTAGATATTTTTCCTATTTAAAACTTGACTCTTCTGTAGTTACATCGTGCACTAAGACCGACGGAAAATGTAAAGTTGCGATTTTCTAGACTGATATGGCTAGGAACTATACTCTCATTCCTGCGTAATAATCAAGAAACTTCAATGCCGTACCATGAGTGCAGCAGGCGTAATGATATGACGCAGCGCCTGAAAATAGGCTACCTTCTGTCAACACAACGGAACTATTTTCAGGCGCTGCGTCATATCATTACGAATGAGGAATGAGAGTATAGTTCCTAGCCATATCAGCCTAGAAAATTGCAACTTTACATTTTCCGTCGGTCTTAGTGCACGGTGTAACTACAGAAGAGTCAAGTTTTAAATAGGAAAAAAATTGAAACTCTTTGGTCATTTTTTTTTGGAGAAATGCTAATGGTCTTGTCCACTTCAATGATCTATGCTAAGCTATGCTAAAAGTGGTACCGCCAGAACCGGAGATCGGCTGAATGGATTCAAAAACGGTAAAACTCAACAGTTTAACTCTGGGGGAGTTGTAAAATGAGCCTATTTCCAAAAAAAGTGGAGTATCCCTTTAAGTTAAAGAGCCATTTCTACCTTACCGTACCCTTAATTTTAGCTTTATTGGCGTAACCCTATATTTAGGTTAATTCAGTAATGTTAAAAAACATTTTTTATTTGAATACAATCAATTAATTTAGATGTTAATGTTAACATTTTCAGGTTACCATTCTTTTAACATTTAACAGAAAATTAAACTTTGATTAGATGGTTGCTACATTATTATACAGTATCAATATTAAAACCCATTCGATTCTAATTAGAACCTCACTATATTTTACACCAAATGACTCATTTCAACCCTGTGCTATTTTCTTTCTTCCGCGAAACACAAACAGAGATGGCTGAGCTTTGAACAATGACACTAGTGTCAGATGATGCTGATGGGTTAAAGGTGCCATTTTTAAATTGAGAACAACTAATCATACGAATGATCTCATTTGAGATTTGTGAGCTCTGGAAGAGAATACGATTTTTCGGTCAATAACAAAATAATACATTTTTATCTGTTCTTCACACAAAGCTATTGCATGACTTAAATCACCATAAATCACCAATCACCAAGAATATTGCAATATTTATTACAAGTTGATTTATCCGCACACATCATTATTTTTATTTGATTCATATGTCCTCGTAATCTTTAAGCAAAGTAACGTCCTCTTCCTCTTGGAACGACTTCTCTTCTCTGATGATGCGTTTACTGGCGTGAGGGCGGGGCAACCTGTCACTCACTTGAGATCCACCAATAGCAAACCACAAATCAATTCCCCATGGACAAAATCAAGCCTCGCCCCACATTTTTTCTTGTTCGAGAAGCCTATTACTTCATAATAGGATAGAAAAGACTATCACGACTTCTGTTTCATGCTGTCTTTACGAAATAGTTCCATAAGAGTACTTTTATCCTGCTTTTTAGACCTTTTTGGAGTTTGACAAGTAGAAATCACCATCCATTTTGGTTCTATGAAAAAGAGTAGCTCAGATATTCAGCCTTGCATTCCCCTTTGGAATAATAATAATTATAACATTGGGACATGTTATTAAAATGGTACTGGGATGAAATGAGGGTGAGTAAATGATGACAAAATTTGACTATTTATTTAAGTAGTTTTAAATGCTTAAGCGGTCCACGCACTGTCCATGTGATATAATTTCCGTCATTGTAAAAAGTGATCAGTTGACCTAACTTAAAAAAATTGAGGAAACCCATTGCCTTAAAATTATGAAGTAAATAAATGTCATGCTTAATAGAAAAAATTAAGTTATGTGAACTTGACAATTCCAAATTAATGTTTTTGATTAAGCATGAAGTTTATTTACTTAATAATTTTAAGGCAACTTTTTACTGTGTGAGGAGGGTCCGCGGACTTCCTCGCACATTCGTTTTCGTGACACGCGTATGATGCGCGCACAACAGCGCATGCTTACGGTGAAAGTTGACATAGAAGAGTCCGCTAGTCGGCGATACGCACAGTTGTGATGTACTACTCACTAGTCGAAGAAGAGTTCGTAAAGAGCGATACTAATGGCAGATACGCAACTTTTCTTCTTCTTCTATTTTTCCGAGCGAATGCCCTGTAAATGACACGACTCAGTGCTGCCCTCTGACGCCTGGTTCGGTATAAAAAAGCAATTGTACTACGCATGTATAACTTGCAAGTATACCTTGAAAAATGTGCGCGAGACGGAGCGTAACGCGGAAAATGAAGAAGACCCGGGCCTTTACTTCTGCTTATTACAACACAAACACACACAGATATATGTGAACACACACATACTGTTCACCGGTTCTGACTGGATCGCTTCTCTCAAAAGGTCCTTTTCTTTTGACTCGGGCCTTCAAGAGGGATTAACACCCCTTGCATGATTTTATTAAAGCAAGACGCAGCATCTCTGTCTCTCTCTCTCTCTCTCTCTCTCTCTCTCTCTCTCTCTCTCTCTCTCTCATCTTTAAGTGAAACATAACAGCCCTGAGTGCGCCAGCAGCTGAAACCAATTCTCTAAGAGGGACAAACTCCAGAAATCCTCACCCGACGTGTTTGGGGGAAATATCATCGTATTAAGGAAAAGAAAAAAGAAAAAGTCTAAGAAAGCCCATTAAAATTCAAGTGCTAAGAGACATAGTGTGGGGATTAATGAAGAAGATTCCTTATTCCGAGGGTTAAAGACTCAGTTTAGTGAGCGGGGCCTGGAGGGGCCACATGTTATCTTCCAGCACAGTGCCGCCCACCCTCCTCTCAGCACACACAGCCTGGACAAGGAAATGCTTCACTTGCTAGTCAGAATATATGACAAATAGAGACAAAGTCAGCAGGACCCAGACTTCAGCCTCGTCAAGAGTTTTTTCTTTCTTCTCTTTTTTTAAAGTTATTAGTTTTCTGTATTTGTTTGAATGTGCCTTTTTAAAGCTCAGTTTTAAAAAAAATATTATCTGAAGTTTTTACTGAACAACTTCAGCTTTAGTTTTGCTTCGTTGACAGAAGTCGTCAAGGTTATCCACAGAAATGCAGGACAGGAAGGTGCTTTGGGCTTGAATTTAATATTTCCAGAGCATGAAAGCTTTGCTCAACACCTTAGATTGCCACTTAACTGTCTTAAAGTTTCAGCCAAATTAGATTATATTTAATGGGGCTAATTAAATACAATATGGAGCTATGGTCGCCTAGAGGCAAAATCCATTCATGCTGTGGGCCAAAACGCCAAGCGTTAACCCTTTCTCATCTCATCTGGAGATGTTATGATGAATGCTGAAAATGGCAGTTCAGTTCAAAAGTGATCTAAGATAAGTATGTTTGCAAAAAAAAAGAAAAAAGAAAAGTAAAACATTTAGTAATCTTCCACTCCACTGCAGCTCTCAAATCTATAGTTTACATTACGGGTATAAATCTGATTCCAGAGTAAAAACAAACACACATTCTCTGTCGAATTTTTTTTTGTATCAATAATTAGTTTTAATTGTGCATTTTTATTAAATAAATAATGAAATAAAATCACTTAATTATATGTACTTTAAAAAAAAAATCCAAATTAATAATATATTAAACAATTAATACAGATTCAAGAGAATCGTGATGCATCAGAGAATCATTTTTTTCTCCCACCCCTAATTTACATGCATTCAAATACAGTATCGTGCATTGAGACGTCACACCAGATCTGACATCAATGACACTGTGCAACTGATTGCGGAAGTTTGAATACATGCATATGCAAATGAGAAGATTATAAGTAAACTTCAATTTCTATCTGTTCTTCACACAAAACTATTGAATGGCTTTAGAAGGCTTAAATATACCGTGCTTGAGCTTACCAACCCCCAATTCACTTTCATTATATGGAAAAGAGCAGCATGAACATTCTGCTAAACATCTCTTTTTGTGTTCTATGGAAGAAAAACAATGGAGCAAAGTCCCAAAAATAGCAAAAGCTTAAACAAACATTATTTATTCATAAATGTTTGACCATTTTTAAATGGCATTACTTCATATAGTCATATAAACACATGTCTGTTTCTCTCTGTTCCTCTAATATAGAGAATTCAAGTGTTTAAACTAGCTATTTTTCATGCTAGGTTTATTTTATGCAAGATAATAGTTTATTTAAAGCATCTAATAGTTCTCAGAAAAAAAATAACATACATCAATTTCTATCCTATTCATGGGAAGTGCCCATTACCTGCTGTTTTTGATAGGATTCCGCCGTCAAGTGTGTACCATCATCATTCATGCTATTTTCAAATCGTTTCCCTCATATCTGAAACTGCCCTTAGTTTCTAATCAATCTCTGAACTATCCAGCTAATCATACTCCACGAACACTGGAGAAAGTGTATACCGCATCGTGCGCTTGTCCTTTCCACCGCTCCTCTAATCACCTAGCACGCGCTCATTTAAATATTAGAGTAGGCTTTAATCATGGAAAGTAATCAGTGGCATGAATATTCATACCGTGCCGGTCTAACAGTCTCATTGTCTCACTCCTGTGCCAAATCGTGTCT